CTGGACATGGGCACCAGCAACCCCCGTGACCCAAAATGGAATAAACGGGTAAAGATAATGGATGGATGGATGGGCCACCATGGCTTAAAAAGAAAAAAAAAGCAACTATAAGTCATTGATTTTTTTGCCACACTGAGCTAAAATTTGGTATGGTTGAAGCTGAGAGCAAACTCGAACACATAGTGCTGTCAAATAAAAAATAAAATAAACTGGCTGCGACGTGGCAGTCCCCATCAAAGTTTCTACAGGAGCTTTCTACTGATATTATCCAGCTTGCTGTGCTAACCTGACTGCTTTAGGTAATTTACAAACAACTTATTTTTCATACAAGAAACCAAACTATTCTATTAATAGCTTTTCCTTTTTGTACACAAGCAGACCTGATCCAAAACAATCTAACTAATTAACTGAAAATATATCACTTGTCATGTTTTGTGCCTTCAGAGTTGTGTTGATAACTTGGTTGTTGTGTACAGGCCAATATCATCAATGTTTGATGAAGCTAAAGGCACAACTTGTGTGTGTGTGGTAAATGAGTAAATGAGATGAACTTGTAAATGAGTCCCCGAGGCTCAATGGGATTAACCTGTATAAATAAAGGTGAATGAAAAAATAAAAGTGTGTGTGTGTGTGTGTCACTCATGTATTTACATTTAGGCCATTTACACAAATGACAAAGTGTCTGTTATGAAAGAGCAGAAGGATTTAAGCTAGTTTGGGGGAACGCTCCATATCCTTTTCTATTCAACACATTGTTCTTCGAACCGCAGATTAATATCTTGTTTAAACAGTCTGCAGACACATCACTCTGTTGCTGTGTTTATAAATCCTCTGGAGCTGATCAACACAATGGCCCACATTCCTGGCATTTAAAGGAAGTCCCTCATATCATTACTCCTCCTCTCCACCAGAGACAGAAATTCTAGGAATATGACTCAGGGACAAAAACAACTGTGCACATGGATGCCTGTTTATTGCATTTAATTTAAAAGGTAGCAATATTTTGCTCCAGTGTTCAGGCAGAGCTTTGCATCCTTCAACATCCTTCAACCTTTCACCCAAACCTCCTGTTTGACTGCAACAGTATCTTTACCAAGTTTTCCACGTGGAGCTTAAAAGAAAGATGCAAATCAACCAAGATACCCAAATATTTGTAAGAATTGACAAACTCAATAGGAGCACCATTCGAGGATAAAATCGAAGGAATAATTGCTGGGACCAACTTCCTTTTTTAAAACAAGATCCCTTTGGTTTTGTCAACATTTAGGACAAGTTTGAGACAGAACAAATCTGACTGGATGATGTTGAAAGCAGATTGCAAAAGCTGAAAAACCTTAACAACTGTTTAGCTTGACAATAGATAACTGTATCATCAGCATAGAAATGTAAGGATGCATCAGATATGCTCTGACCTACATTAACTATGTAGATTGTGAAGAAGGTGGGTCCTAAGACTGAGCCTTGTGGTACACAATTGTTGATCGTTAAATAATTGGAAGAAGTACGTTGAACGTTGTCTCCGATCTGAGAGATAGTTAGTGAATCAACCAATAGTGTGAACCGAGAAACCAATTTCTGAGAGCTTATATATGACGTAATAAGAATCAGAATCAGAATAAGCTTTATTGTCATTGTACCGAAATACAACAAAATTGTATAATATAATAAGACGTCATGGTCCACAGTGTCAAAAGCTTTGGACAGGTAAAAGTGCAGCACAATAATCTTTAGCATCCAGTGTTTCAACAACATCATTAAAAGCCTTCAGTGAAGCAGTCATTGTGCTGTGTTGTTTCCTGAAACCAGATTGATGGAGAGGTAAGATGTTAAATGAGTCCAGATAATTTTTGATTTGAGAGTTTATCAGTTTTTCTGGAACCTTGGCTAAAATGCAGAGTTGAGATTGGTCGATAGTTGTTCATTGAGGTGGGGTCACCTCCCTTCAGCAAAGGTAGAACAAAGGCTGTTTTCCAAGCATCTGGAATGGAGTTTTGGCTTATGGACAGGTTAAAGGTGTGGGACACCGATACTGCAATGATATAAGCGGCCAGCCTTAAGAAATAAGGTGGAAGCTCATCAGGTTTTGCAGACTTTTTAGATTCTAGACCAGGGTTGTTCAACTAAATTGCTCAGGGGGCCACAGTTACTGAAAGTCAGAAGCTCAGGGGCCGGATGTCCAGCAGCTATTGTCATAATTTTTTTAATTATTGTTTTTACAGTTTAAAATCCAGTTCTTGTTGTATCTTGGTGCAATGATAATAAAGCTTATTCTGATTCTGATTTAAAATCAACCTTTTTGGTGGGCCAAACGGAGTTCATTCAGGGGGCCTGATTTGGCCCCAGGGCCGCTAGTTGAATAGCCCTGGTCTAGACCTTTTAACAATTTATTAACCTCACTAACTGAAAATGGTGAAAATGAAAAGGTGTGATTTACTGAAGATTGACTTGTAGGACAGATTTGATTTGTAGCTGTTTGGCTTGAAGGAGAAGTGGCTGATTTTCCGTTAGTAACTGTGTCAAACAAAGAACTAGAATCAACAAAATGTTTGTTGAAACACTTCAAGATCTCATGCTTACTTGACACAGGAATAGAGTTAAGAAGTTGTGATGGGAGATCAGAAGAAAAAGAGCTGCCGCAGAAAGATTTGATGGTTTTCCAGAATCTTTTAGGGTCATTTAGATCTTCGATGGTCTGAGATAAGAAATAAGTACGTTTTGCGGCTTTGACGAAAGTTGTACATTTATTCCGCAGCTAAATAAACTGAATACTGTAGTTGAAAAAAATACTGGCCAATAAAAATTAACATTACTGTTGCACAAATCAAATAGCCAACAATAAAAACCCCTGTTTGAACTCACACTTTGCTGTCATTTACATTTAATATTTAGTTTCTGAATCATTTTATCCTCATGTTAGTCCATCTCCGATTTTTAATTGTGATTAAATATAGATTGTAGTGTATTGTCTATTATATTATAGGGGAGTATTGTATTCACAGGGTCTAAACTCTGGTGGCACAGAGGTTAGAGAATGTGGGCCTTTGATTGGAAGGCCGCTGGTTTGAGTCCCCGGAATGACAACATTAAAATGTGGGTAGCAAAGGTGAAACAACCACACCTGTCTCCTTCCTCATTTGCCCCACTCTGGGCCCTTGAGCAAGGCCCTTAACTCCCACCATTTGCTCCCCCAGGCACCCTAGATGGCAGCTCTCTGCTCCACACAGAGGGCTGTGGTAGCTCGGTGGTCTGTGTTTGTGTCAGGAAGGACATCCGGCGTTAAAACAATTGTCAAGTCTTTATTCGCTGTGGTGACCCCTGAAGAAAGGAGCAACTGAAAGAAGTAGTGTAGTGTCTATTTTATTCTTTTGAGGAAAAGTGACTGTGTGTTTACAATGGCTGAGGGAACTATTTGATCCTGGAAGTAAGAATTTGACTAATGAAACCCCAACTTTCATGCATAAGATTAGCATCAATGGCCACGCCCTGGCACCGTCATTGCACCTGGTCATGGATAAAATTGCTTCCCTCACTCGCCGGGATCCATCACTCTGTGTTAAAGCAAAGTGATAAATAAATAAATAACTTCTTAAACACTATGAAACTCACTAGAATATTGTGCACTAAAAGCATCAAGGTTTACTTGCATTCCCTGTTCAAGTCTAAAAAAAACACTCATCTGCTAAACTACAGACATTCACTATTCAAATCCCTCTGCAACGTGAGGACATCAACTTACTGCTTTTTTTTTTCAAATTTATAGTAATTTACTGGCAGCCATGGCTGCCAAAATTTCACTGTAAACACTGTGATGATTGCGCTATTTATGAACTTGGCAGGGAGAATTTGTCGTCTTTGTGTCACTGAAGCCACCAAACGAATGCACGTCATTCTGCTAACGGAGCGAGTGTAATAAGTTTAGATTTCTCAAATAAAAACATGTTGCCCCTCTAACTGAGGTCAACCCAGGTCAGGGTTATTGTGTGTTGTTCTGTGCAGCGGTTAAAAGCGTCATCGTTTGCCCTTCATCACGTAGCCTCCTAAGATGAGAGACGTTGCTCCCGAGACCGGAGCTCCACTTTCAGTACTCCCCAAAACAGCCGAGATCAAAAATAAATTGTCACTTCCTTTGGCTTCAAGATCAACAGCCAAACTCAAACTTTCTTTTGTTTGTGATTTCCTTTGGCCCTATCCTTGGTCACATTTTCCAGAAGACTACATGCAATTTGCTCAAATGCAAGTTTTGAAGTGTGTTTTGCAACAGCTGTGCCCTGAAACACACACGGAGCTGGTCTAATTCTTTTTATCTTGTATTAATGCCGAACTCTCTCATGTTTTTTTCATTTCTAACAAAGAACATCTCACTCATCTCTGATCAGAGTATAGGTGTGGTTTGATCCATGAACCAGGTTTCCATGTGTGATTGAGTTTCACTGATGCCTCATGGGTTCCATATAGACTTTTCTTTATGGGTACACAGCATAAACACTCCCTCCCCCCCATTACAGACATCCATCCCTCTCGGAAATGAACTTTTTGCTAACAGACAAGGTTTGAGGTTACACCTCAGCTTCACTAACAATACTACTTTGATCTCTCGAGGCGTCTACACAATGTTTCAACTGTGTCTGCTCTGGGCTTGTGCCTATCTGCTGTGCAGTGTGAAAGTGTGTGTGTATATGTGAGGGACAGTCAGATTTTCTTGTGGAAGAGAAGAAAAAACACTTTTAGCGGTAGGACCCGGAGAATCTCTGTGGACAAAAATGAGCTAGTACACCTTTACGAAGCAGGTCCAAGTTGTGAAAAGAGTTCAGCACAGAGAGAGAAAGAGAGAGAGAAAACAAGTTGAGCTCTGAGCCTTGTCATTGGCCAGGAAAAATCTGACAGGAAAACACAATGACCCCTGAGGTCAGACAAACCTTATATGAAAGCTTAAAAACACCTTGACTGCCTGAGCCACAGAGCTGAGGAGGAGTCTCATCACTTGGTTGTGGCAAGTCGACATGAGCACTTCTGTGGCGGTGTACAGGAACATTTACACGGAGGACCGCTTCAAGCAGGACTATGGCTCGGATGAGAGCAGCAGTGCGGGTCCACGGCTCCGGGACAGACTTGCCAGCACGTGCAAGTGTTCAAGGCGGGCCTGCCTTCACCTGCTGAGGGAGAGAGTCCCTATTTTCAGCTGGCTGCCCAGATACAGACTGAAGAAATGGCTCGTAGGAGACACTGTAGCCGGCCTGACTGTTGGCATTCTTCATATTCCTCAGGGTTTGTACCCATAGTTCATTTACTGCCATTATGTTATATATAAATTATAAAATATGATTTGCTTAATAAAAAGAAAAGTAGTTATGATGTTATTGTATGTTAAATCAGTTGGGATGTTACATGTTCTGTCAAAACTTCCCATGCTGTGGTTATTTTTAAAAGATGTGCAGTGGTCCCCAAAGTTGAGGTCATGACCCCAGTGGGCCATGAAACACCGATTGTTGGGTTTTCAGAAAATAAAATAAAATAAAAAAAACTTAAAAAGAATTGCCATTTATATGTTAGAAAGATTCAAATAGCAGCCATACATTGATAAAAAAAGATTAATGACTGATGAGTTTTTTTTTTTTTATTGAATGACCCCATCTCCACTCCAGGAGATGGGGTCACAAGTCTCCAATTATTTTCTTTTGTATGTCTAAAGCTGAAAAAAAGGTAATATCTGATTTAAAGGAGTGGAAGTCCATCAAACTGTCAAAAATAGGCCAATACTGTATAAGGCCTATATTTTTTTGTTAATTTATGTGGTTTATTGGAATAATTTGCATGTTGAGTATTGTATGCTAATATTGCAACTGTGATGCAAGTATAGTAAATGAACTGTACTTATATAGCACCTTTCTATCTTATCAAGATACTCAAAACACATTCCACTAAAATATGTGCCCTCATTTATCCATTCATACAGCACTCTATAACCAGTACATCTATACAATCAGTGCTTTATCACATTTATACACCCATGGGACTCACATCAGAGGCAATGAGGCAATGAGTGGTTCAGTGTCTTGCCCAAGGACAGTTCAGCATGTGACTGCTGGTGGAATTGAACCCCCAACTCTTGCATTGGATGACTGCGCTAACCACTCAGTCACAGCCGCCCCAATTATGAAATACTGTACCATTGGGCATTGGGTCGCGGGGGTCGCTGGTGCCCATGTCCAGCCATCACTGTGCGAGTGGCGAGGTACACCCTGGACAGGTTGCAAGTCCATCACAGGGACACAGAGAGACAAACGAGACAAACGACCATTCACTCTCTTACTCATACCTAGGGACAATTTTAGAGTTACCAATCAGCCTAACATGCATGTTTTTGGTCTGTGGGAGGAAACCGGAGTAACTGAAGAAAACCCACGCATGCACTGGGAGAACGTGCAAACTCCACCCAGAAAGGCCCCTGGGCCGGGATTTGAACCTGGGTGACCTGCTCGCTGAGAGGCAGCAGCTCTACCAGTTGCATCACCGTGCTGCCCA